CTTCAGTCATTCCCGGACTCACTGGAGCCCCAGGTCCAAAGCTGCTGTCCGCAGGCCCGGCTTCGGAGGAGGTAAGGGCCGAGCACCGACCCAGGGCGTCCGTGGCCTCCCCCGAGAAAAGGCATCTGTGGGTCAAGGCTCGGGGCTTGAACTCAGGGCCGGGCCTGGACCCTTTCACTTGACCCATGAGTGAGAAAACCCACGGAGGCACAGTTAAAGGTGACACAGGAGTCCTATTAGTTGGATGCAACCCTGCCCTGAGTTACCTCAGAACCAGGAGTAGCTGTAAACTCCCAGGGGGGCAAGTTTTTTGTTTGTTTGTTTTGTTTTTTTAACCTTTTTCCTCTTTGCCCCTGGCTTCTCCACTCTCTGCAGGCTTCTCTGATCTCCATAGGCCTCTTGGCTCTTCACTGGCCTCTTCTGCACAGGCCTCTGTGCAGGACTCCCCAACTTTCCATGGGCCTGTCTGACTGTGCCAGCCTCTTGGCCTCTCCACCTCTGTGTGGGCCCTCTACCTCCCTGCTGGCCTCTCTGACTCTCACAGGCCTCCCCAACTCTCTCTCTGAATTCTGAAGGCCTCTCCGCAGGCCTCTCTGTTCTCTGCTGGCCTCTCCAACTCTCTGTGGGCTTCTTCATCTTTGCAGGCCTCTTGGCTTTTTATTGGTCATGGGGCTTGAACTCAGCCTGGGCACTGTCCCTCAGCTCTTCAGCTCAAGGCTAGCACTCTACCACTTGAGCCATAGCAGCACTTCCCGTTTTCCAGTGGTTCCTTGGAGATACAAGTCTCATGGACTTTCTTGCCTGGGCTGGCTTTGAACTGTGATCCTCAGATCTCAGCCTCCTGAGTAGCTATTACAGGCATGAGCAACTGGTGCCCTGCTGCCTCTTGGCTTTTCACAGGCCTTTCCACCTCTCCACTGGCCTCTCTGCCAGCCTCTCCACCTCTCTGCAGGCTTCTCTGCCTGCCTCTGCCTCTCTGCTGGCCTTTCCATGGGCCTCTCTGCTCTCCACAGGCCTCTTGGCTCTCCGTGGCCTCAGGCTCTCCGCAGCCTCTCAGTCTGTCCGTGGCCTTTCTGCCTGTCCACGGCCTCTCTGCTTGTCCGAGGGCCTCTCTGCTCTCTGCTCTCCACAGCCTCTCTGCAGCCTCTTTGCTCTCCATGGGCCTCTCAGCTCTCCACGGGCCTCTCAGCTCTCTACGGGCCTCTCTGCTCTCCATGGCCTTTCCACTCTCTGAAGGCCTCTCTACTCACCGCAGCCTCTCAACCTGTCCTCGGGCATCTCTGCCCAGCCAGGTCTCCCCTCTGGGCCTAGTCTCCCCTCGGGCCGGCCTGGGTACTCCTCCACTCTGGGAGCCGCATCCCTTGCCACATGTCTTTCGTGGTGTGTCCTCTCTCTCCTCCCCAGAACCTCCTCTTCTCTGTATCTGGTAGCCTGCCCCACAGCAGCCTGGAGTGTGTGGAGGTGACACCAGCATGGGGCGGGACTTCCCACCCCACAGGTTCTCACAGAGGCTAGTGTTCTACCATTTGAGACACCGCACTGTGTCTGGCTTTTTGGTGGTTCATTGGAGATAAGAGTCCCATTGACTTTCTTCACACTGTGATCCTCAGATCCTTGTGAGTAGGATTACAGGTGTGAGCCACTGGTACTTAACTAGAGATTACTTTATAAAACAGAGCCTATCCCTGAGCATGTTACAGCGTTTTCTCCATTGAATGCTTTTTGGGCACTCCAAGTGGGATGTGGCTGGAACTTGTATTCTTCGGCCACTAGAAGAGAACTAATCTGAGAAAATTTAACAAAAGAAATTTGGAAGCAGTTTATTACCTCTGAAAATGCTAGCTGATTAATAGTTTCTATTTTTAGAGTGAAATTAAAACCAGAAGCCAAATCATCCATTTTAAATTGCCTTAAAGTTCAGGTTCCTCTGGTTTCTTAAAAAAACAATATTCAGCTATATTTTTCTCCACTTAATGAAAGTGTACTTTTCTTTTTTTTGGGGGGGGGTCCGGTCGTGGGGCCTGAACTCTGGGCCTGGGCGCTGTCCCTCAGCTCTTCAGCTCAAGGCTAGCGCTCTACCACTTGAGCCACAGCGCCACTTCCAGCTTTTTTTTTCTTTTTGCTTATGTGATGCTGAGGAATCGAACCCAGGGCCTCATACCTGCAAAGCAAGCGCTGTACCACTGAGCCACCTTCTCAGCCTGTGTAATTTTCTTTAAAGAAAAAAACTGATTTTAATTAAATCCTCCATCTGACTGCATCACAGACATTCAATCTTCATGTGCATACATGAAACTAACTAACACAAGTGACACAGTGACACACGCCATTGAGAAGAGAATCCAAAGGTGCCTAGTATCCCTTCTTACGTTAAAAAAAAAAAAACTATTGCCCAGAAAAACTAAATTTATCTCCAATCTTTCAAAGATTTAATGAGTGCTTTAACTTCAAAAAAAATCAAGCTGAGCACCAGTGGCTCACACCTGTAATCCTAACTACTCAGGAAGCTGGGCTCTGAAGACCACTGTTCAAGGCCGTTCAAAGCCAGCCAGAGTAGGAGAGTCCATGGGACTCTTATCCCCAATTAGCCACCAAAAAGTCAAAAGTGGCTCACTTGTAGCCTTGAGCACAAAAGCTCAGAGACAGCGCTGAGGTCCTGAGTTTAAGCTCCAGGACAGGTATCAAAAAATTTTAAATTAAAACCAACAGTAGACCCACTGATGTCCCTGGCTAATTTAGGATATGTACCTGTGGTGTGGTGTTTTATGTAGGTCATCATTTCTTGTGACAGTGTGGACATGAGAGAGGGTGGCATCACAGAGTAGCAGTGCTAGGGCCATGCCTTCATGCCGTCTGACCTCTCTGCAGGTAAGGAGAGATGCCCAGAGTGGGCTGTGACTTGGTTACAGCAATATAGCTGGTCAGAGACAGAGGTTAAACCAGAGCCACAGCCACATAGCCCGAAGAGCTTCCCAAGCCTCCGTTTTGATTTTTATCCACAGCACCTGCACTGTATTGACATTTTTAAGTACACCCACCTTTAAATTGGTGTAAGATGGAAATTTTACTTGAGGAAGCATAACTTTTAGTAATAAGTGTGATTGCCTAGTTACAACCTACCCCAAAAGGCCTTGTATAATGCTGGCAGGTGTCCTGGCACTAGATTCCCTTGTTTCTCATCTGCTGTTTAAATTACAATATTGTGACAGAAGCTGATGGCAAAGCCAGTGGATGCACTGAAGCGTTTCTTAAGCCGCCATCTTCATTATTGCTTATTCATGGTCTTGTCATTCTAGATCTCCCCTTGGGAGCCTTGGGGACATAATGGGTTTCTTCATCTTTCCTAAATTATGGACATTTTTAGATTTATAAAGAAAACACACATGAGCTTTAGTAAAGTGATGTGGAGAGTTTCATTGCAAGACCTGGTTCTTAGTTTGACCCTAGCTTAACAATGAGCACTTCTGTAAATAATCACTGTGAAAATGGAATCATGTTCTATAGCAAAGCTATGTTGTATTCCACAAATATGTCACAGAAATGTGTGAGTAAATAGACAGTATTTACCCTTTGGCTGTACAGACTAAGCTATGTGCTTATGTGTGTGGAGGAAGAATTTTTTAAGTAGCACTGAAACATGTAACTTAGAGGTTAAGAACACATCCAAACTGCCCTTGACTTTCTCAGTGATGATCAACGTCCTCTTGAAACACTATTGGAATGTGACAGCAGTGGAAAATACTGTGGAAAAGTAAGGCTCTGACTTGCACATAATGGATTACATCTAACGCTCTGTGGAACACCATAGAAAGTCCTCAGAGAATTACAGCCCTATGTTTTCCTTCTTGAACTGGCATGGGTAGAAAGACCAATAAAACCTGCTACAGTTAACGTGGATTTCTCAAGCAAGTTTTTTAAATCTTATTGAATTAGCTGAGCACAGAGGCATATGTCTATAATTACAGCACTCAGGAGTCTGAGGGAGAAGGATTACAAGTTTGGGGCTAGCCTGGGTTATAGAGTGAGAACGTGTCTCCAGCTCAAAAAGCATTGCTTATAGTTGGTTAGAAATATTTAAAAATTATATTTTGTGGCAATGGAATGGGATTAGACGAGGTATTAATATCAAAAGTATGCAAGAGTATGGTGTTTTAATGTTTCTATAAAGGTTTTTGTAATTCTATGGATCAATCATAGCTAATTTATTTTTCTTATAACAAGTTTTTCAAGCCTTTTAAAAGTCTTGTAACTTAGCCGGGCGCTCGTGGCTCACGCCTGTAATCCTAGCTACTCAGGAGGCTGAGATCTGAGGATCGCGGTTCAAAGCCAGCCTGGGCAGGAAAGACCGTGAGACTCCTATCTCCA